TTGCTGTAGCGTTTGAAGAGAGCTATTCATGTCCCTGCACTGGTTAGGCACTGCCTCACCAACACTTACTTCACCTGGAATGGTACCTTCTATAAACAAAATGAGGGCACCCCTATGGGTTCCCCCTTGTCACCAGTGATAGCCAATGTTTTCATGGAGAAATTTGAAACAGACGCCATCCAGACAGCCACTCTACGTCCTTCCCTGTGGAAGAGATACGTGGATGATACTTTCGTCATTTGGCCACATGGCCTCCCAGCATTGAACCTATTTCTAGATCACATCAACTCCATGCACCCATCCATCAAATTCACCATGGAAGTGGAGTACGATGGTAAGCTACCATTCCTGGATGTTTTGTCTGAGAGGAGACCCAATGGCTCTTTGGGACATTCTGTCTACAGGAAGGCTACCACACAGATTCCTACCCGAAACCTGATTCCCACCATCATCCGACACAAAATCATTCCCTCATCACAACACTATACCATAGGGCCCACTGCATCTCTGACCAACACCACCTGGCCAGTGAATTGGAACATGTACACCGTGCCCTCAAGATGAACCGTGCTAAGATCAAACTAGGGTAGTTTTTAGTTTACGTGCTATGAAGAAGGGTCATTACACTAAACGTCGTACATCATATATTTGTTTACTTTTAAGGCCACACACACACGGCGCTCCTGTGTTTATGAACGTTTGATTGTATTTTTATGATTACAGGACAACTTTGCTCGTCGCCTTCAATCAACTCGCAGTGACCAGCGTGGTGAAATATGGTCAATAACCCACCCCCTCCCTCCGCCACCCTTGCGGCACGGCGAGGCCGTCAACCAGCAGTGGATTGACAAATGAGCTGTACACGGAATACTTATAATTGTGTTGATGTGCGAGATGTAGATTGTCTGTGTTGTGCATGTACGCACGATACATCTATGGGACCTTGTTTTGCCAGTATGGAATTGATGAAAAGGGATGATTTTGTTGTTTTATTGCCAGAAAGGGTAAAAACAAAACATTATTATTTGTTGCATCATGTACGCACGTGTGTATGTAAATTCCACTCGGATGACCCTGCCTGTAAGTGATGATGATGATGATAATAATTATATAAAAGAGCAGGCAAAGGCGCAGCCGCCGCAATGTCTTGCTCAGCCCGTTGCAGGCGGAGTGGCCCTCCAATCACCATCCGGCTTGTCGCCATTAAAATCCATAATAGAGTTTTTTTCGGTTTAATCGCATAAATATAAATGTGTCGTCAAACCCGTCACCACCACCACCACCCAACGCAGCCAATCTACGGTGTCCATGTACGCTGGTTGTTGTAATTGGCAGCGAAACGTCACGGTAATCGAATAGTAAATGTTGTTGTGAGTTTACTCTCCAACACCCAACCGGTTCGTGTTGTTTCCAGCCACCATTGGACACGTTTTGTTTACGTGACAAACCTTACGAATCGGCTGTGTCGGGTGGTGGTGGCGGATTTAACGACACATTTATATTTACGCGATCTAACCCGCGAAACCCTACGACGACTAACTACGCGTTAAACAGCCAGTACAAGATCAGCAGACGATGTCGACGCATCTGATCAACGTGGAAGGGCACGGGAGAATGAACACCACCGCCACAATCCATCTCGCAGTTGAACGGGAACGCTTTCGCGAGCACTTACACTGGCCAACAAAAAAACGTTTTTTATCTGGCCTGGACTTTTGCAGCTGTTTTAGACTAATTTCAGGGTGCTGATTCCAAATCTGATTTCAGATTAACTCTATCACATCTCTTTTTTATGCTATCGGCATACCACATTTTCATTGATTTTACCCGAAATTAACTCTGTCACTCATGATTGCAAGTTGTTGCGAGTCAGTGACTGCTTTAGTGTTAAAATATGGTGCTGTATTTTTAGGATAGTGTGTTTATAATATAATTTAATGTAGATATCTACAGTTATTTAATATTTTTCTTCTGCAGTTTTTATTGAAAATGCTAAATTTGATATCTTAAAAACCTGATGCCAGATTTGGAATCAGCACGCCAAAATGACCTTAAAACCGTTGGAATACCTTATGCCAAAAAAAGTGTGTTGACCAGTGTTATCTGTCTGAATGTGTTGGCTGTAAACCGGTGCGCGGTATAAACGAAACGACATTTTTGCACAGTAGTTTTTTTTCTTTCGGCGATTCGCAACCTTTGGTCAGGATGGTGGTGGTGGTGGTGCGTCAAAATCAGTTCTCGTCATGTCGAAGCGGCCGTAAGACGAAAGTTCATGTGAGCGGCTGAACACGAAGCTTCGCAGTCTGCTGCCATATAGCAGTCTGAGAAGACCGAATAAACATTCGAATCGCGTCAAACTGGCTGGAAATTTACGAGCTGTTCCCATTGTTTTCATTTTAGAATGTTTACGAGCACCGGTGTCGTATTTTACTGCACTGGCTGTACCACCAATACGTCCATCTCCCGTGGGAGGAACCCTTTCGTGAGCAGTGGGCGTGAGCGGGCTCTTGCACGGCTGCGCCTAATTACCTTGACAGTCTTGCCTGACTAGGGGACACGTCGGGGGGCATATAAAACACGTGCACTCTACACAGCTCGGATGAGTCTTTCTGTTCAGTTCGTTTGCTTGTTCAAAATTTCAACCACGGACTGCCAAGCCGTGAGATCGACCTATCCGTAAGTAAACGGATTTCTGTAGAGCCGCTTTTTGTCTTTACTCCGGTCAGCTCGGTTGGCTACGTACGGTGCGAAATAAGTTCAACATACATACACACGACAACTGGTGCTGACAATTAATTGACAATGGCGTTTGAGTAACTCACATTAATTATACATTAAGTATATAATACATCGTTGTTAATAGCGTTGCTCTAAAGAAAGGCCATTGCCCGAAACGTCGCCTATTAGCCGTTTACTGTTTAGGCCACAGTATTGACGAACGTGTTAAAATTAAGTACTGCATGCACACATGTTTAATTCTTCTCAAGCACAGATTTACATTTCGTGATTGTGCTTCTGGAGTCGTGTGGCTGTGTTCTGCTGATTCGTTTGTGAACGCCGCATCCGTTCTGCAATCAATTCCTTCGTGAACGAATTTGCGAGTCGGTGAATAGGTGGTTGCACGAGTAAGTGGGTGAGCAGGTGAGTGGGTCGTTGAGTGTGTGAGGAGGTGAGTGAGGAGCGGTAGGGTAGTGCTAAGTGCGCTGCGCTACGATCCCCGCTCACCACCACCAGCAGTGACGATTATCTGCACCGGCCCCGGGCCTCCCCTAGGTCGACTTAGCCTCTAATGAATACCTGGTTCGGTGTGTAAACATCGCCACCGAGGAGACAAAGCGGTCGGGCGTGGTGCTGGCAACCTCGTGTGCCATGCCGATCTTCGTAGGTTCTCGCTCACAGCACTTGCCCCAACAGTCTTTGAAGGCTATACGGGGGATTTTTGTATTTGAGTAGGTGAGTGAGTGGGTGAGTCTGTGTGTAGGTGAGTGGATGATTGCGTGATTGAGCGAGTGGGTGGGTGATTGTATACTGTCGAAATTGCATTGTTTTAATATTTGGTCTAAAACCACGCGCCTACTGAGTAGGTGGGCGAACGTGTAGATATTAATTAATGTTAATAAGTGGCTTTATAGAGCTAGGTATGAAAATGATAAAATCCAGCCGATTGTGCGGCCCTGGGTATTGTTCGTGTTTGAGTTGAAGTTTATTTGATTTGTCACGCGGATGATGATCGTTTAGCCAGTGGTTTTCACTCACATTCAGACGGGGGGGGGGGGGGGGTAGGCACTGTCGCCGATAAGACCTCATCATTGTGACAGCCGACACACGTTTGAAACCATTGTGGGTTTGACAGTAGCACGATGATGATGATGGGGGGGGGGGGGGGGGCACGTCAGGGGCCCCGCACTCAAGGCCACCAGGGGCCGACAGTGGCCCGCGGTCAGAGGCGTAGCTAGGGGGGGGGGGGGTACATATGTCCCCGGGCGCCAAAATGAGGCTTACAACGTTACATTATAACTTATTGCGGCGGGCGCGGCAGCCTGAAACGACTGCGCAAATCTACACCTCAACCTAAAAGTTTATATATCCCGCCACACACAGCCTACATGTCATGTAATTACATTTTGGTATGTGATTAAACGGTGGGGTGGGGGGGGCGCTAATTTTATAGTTCGTCCCCGGGCGCAAAAATATCCTAGCTACGCCACTGCCCGCGGTGGCCTTGTGATGAAGAGCCCTGGCGTAGTGAGTGGCCTTCTCGTAGTGAGTGGCCTTCTCGTAGTGAGTGGCCCTGGGGTAGTGAGTGGCCCTGGCGTGGTGAGTGGCCCTGGAGTAGTGAGTGTCCCTGGCGTGGTGAGTGGCCCTGGTGTGGTGAGTGGCCCTGGGGTAGTGAGTAGCCCTGGCGTAGTGAGTGGCCCTGGGGTAGTGAGTGGCCCTGGGGTAGCGAGTGGCCCTGGGGTAGTGAGTGGCCCTGGGGTAGTGAGTGGCCCTGGCGTAGTGAGTGGCCCTGGGGTAGTGAGTGGCCCTGGGGTAGTGAGTGGCCCTGGCGTAGTGAGTGGCCCTGGGGTAGTGAGTGGCCCTGGGGTAGTGAGTGGCCCTGGCGTAGTGAGTGGCCCTGGGGTAGTGAGTGGCCCTGGGGTAGCGAGTGGCCCTGGGGTAGTGAGTGGCCCTGGGGTAGTGAGTGGCCCTGGGGTAGTGAGTGGCCCTGGCGTAGTGAGTGGCCCTGGGGTAGTGAGTGGCCCTGGGGTAGTGAGTAGCCCTGGCGTAGTGAGTGGCCCTGGGGTAGTGAGTGGCCCTGGGGTAGTGAGTGGCCCTTGGGTAGTGAGTGGCCCTGGTGTGGTGAGTGGCCCTGGCGTAGTGAGTGGCCCTGGCGTGGTGAAGAGCCCTGGCGTAGTGAGGACCCTCGCGTGGTGAGTGGCCCTGGTGTGGTGAGTGGCCCTGGGGTAGCGAGTGGCCCTGGAGTAGTGAGTGGCCTTCTCATAGTGAGTGGCCTTGGCGTGATGAGTGGCCCTGACGTAGTGAGTGGCCCTGGGGTAGTGAGTGGCCCTGCTGTTTCACACGGGAGATCCGTAGCGCGACGTGTGCGCAGCAGGAGCAGTCAGAAAGACAAAAACATCGACATAGCAGAGAACGAGTACAAGCATGGGTCCTTCGGGAATAATTGCACCACCTAATGTCTTAAACTAAGCACACGCCAATCAAAATAAGAGCTGTGGAACCCCTACGTCAGTACAGTCAGTTCGACTATGACGCGGTAGTCGTTGCGTTCCTGAAGAACATCGCGTTATAGGAAAAATCGCGTTATATAAAGCACAGTCCGCGATAACGCCTGAGATTCGTACTGCAGGCGTAACGAATATGTAGGCGTGTGGGTAGAAGCATCCAGCAGCATCCCAATGCCTTGTGTGATGATGTAACGCCGACGCAGCCGTACAACCGCGTGTTCCTACTCGCGCGACGTCGTCCCCTGGGCTCTATCGCGTTATATCCAATTCGCATCCGCGTTATAAAAAAAAATGTACCCTAATACATTCACCGCGTTATATCCAATCGGCGTCATAAAAACCTCACGTGGTAAAGGAGAACTGGCTGTACTTTGATACTTGCACGTGCTGTTCGCCTTTTGCATCATCATCAGCAGGTCGTCTTCTTTTAGTGGCAACCTTTTATCACTTCTACGTTGGTCGCTTGACTGCAAGCGCTCAAATGCCTTGTTGTTGTCATTGTTGTTGTTGTGTATCTGGTTCACTGAACGATAACCCTGAACTGGGAACCATTTACAGCGAAGTTTGAATAACGAGCGCACCGATTGGCACGCCCGGCAGTTGAGGTTACCGCGTGGTTTATTTACTCTCAGGTACCACGTGGCGCTCATTGTTACATGTGCGGCAAGCCAGACACCGAGATTTCTCATGCGGTTAGCGGTAACGTGAATAAATCGATGTTAGCCCTTTTTTTGCCCCGTTTTCCTACCTCCCCCCTTGAAACACTCTCGTGCCCGATCGTGACCCCACCACGATAGGCTGGCGAGCCCGGATGCTCTCGACCCTTCCGTAATCGTGAGGATGCATTACATCTGGACATGTGATTTGTGACAGCGACGATGGCCTGTGGCGAGGAAGTCCAGTCTGCTGTGCGTCTTCCTCGTCTTCTCCTGCTTCGGAAACCTCCTGTGGATGCTGCGGGGTTCCCGGAGCACCATGGTTGTCATCAGCTCGCAAGGGCCAGCCAGCACGTCTCCCGAGAAGACGCTCCTACACAATCCTCTGGCTTTAGCGGAGCAACTTAACAACATTGAGGAGATGCTAGGAATGATTCTGGAAGGTGAGTTTCACGCAAATTTGTGTTTATAAATGGCTGTCTGACTGCTGTATCAACATCCGAGCGAGTAGTTGTGCTATCTGCTTACACAGAGATTCGACTCGCACAGAGACCCATAGATGCACATATACACCCATAGACTCAAGCAGATACCCATACACTCACACAGAGACCCACAGACTCGCACAAATAACCATAGACTCACGCAGAGACGCATAGACTCACGGTTAGCCACATAGACGCACACAGAGACCATAGACTCACACAGAGGCCCATAGATTTACACAGACACGCATATATCCATAGTGTTGGTGGTGTTGGTGCTGGTGCTGGTGGTGTTCATGCTGGTGTAGCCGCCAGCCTCCCATCCCAACCTTGGGGTTGTGATATTTGACAGCACCAGGAACCCAAGGCAACTGGCGTGGACGCTAAACTCCCCGAGAAGGTCGCGGTTGGCGTTCAGCTCTCTCTCGTCGTAGTCGGCAGTGGTCGCTTTCTTTGCCCAAACCTGGTGCGCAGGTCTCTGTGGTTGACCTTGCCAGGGCAACTCACAATGTCCAAAGCACCGGGGTGGGGGGGGCGCATCTGCTGGCTCCCCATCTCCTTCCACGTAATTTTTAATGAGGTTCACTTGTGTCTTGGCTTTTTTCCAGCAGCCCTTTTTTAATTAATAGTGAGCCACCATGGCTAGAAGATGCTACCTCCGTCGCCTTGTATACAGGAGGTCGTGGCTTTGATCCCGACTCTTGAGTTTGGGGTGTCTCTCTCCCCGTGGTCACGTGGATTTTTCTCCGATGTTTCCCTCCACATTAAGAATCACGCGTTTAGAATATTTGGCTGATATAAATTTCCACGTAATCGGGTATCATTTGTGATAGTCAGGTAGCTTCTGAAAAATAGCTACACAGCTCGATGGACCTTGCCTGGTGTATATATATATAAATAAGTTTAGTAATTTTCCCACCAAGGTCGATCGTACCCAGGTCGTATTTCCATCTTTCTGCCATACAGAAGATTGCATCAAGTGCACCATTGATATGAAACCGAGGATGAAACTAAACAGTTGTTAGTTGTCTAATTCTACCAGGTGAAGGCCCCACTGAGCTGTGTAGCTCTTTTCAGAAGCGACTTGGCCATCGCGAATGAGAGCTCAACCAAGTGGCGGCTTATCATCATCATCATCTGTAAATTTATGGCATCAGCCAAATATTCTAAATGCAAGACGTTGATTCTCGATATGGAGCAGAAAAAAATTGTAGGACCCGGATAAAAATCTACGCGTGACCACGGGGTGCAAGAGAGAGACGCCAACCCCAAACGTACAGGCGTCAGGGTCGGGATCGAACCCACGACTTCCTGTACAACAGGTGAGGTAGTGAACATCTCCGAGCCACCGCGGCGCCCAGACAATCGCCGGGTCCTGGCTGTGATCTCAGCCGCCGCCGCTTTCGGCAAGAACCCCGGCGCCGCCATGACGGTTGAGGTTGGAGTCTCGGGAGCGACCCTCAGGGTGACGAGAGCTCGTGTGGCGACGCCATCGTCCGCGTACATGACAGCCCTGCGAAAGAGTGGCGGCCCCCTCGTGTAGCCAGAGGGTGAATAGCATTGGGGGAAGGGTACAGACCCCCCCCTGCCCCCCCCCCCCCGTTATCCAGGCGTGGTCGCCCAGGGGAGGACGCACATAGAGACTGCGTGCTCGTGAGCCGCACGTCATCCCGACCCCCAACCACCTTTTCAGATGGCGCTAAACCCGAGGAGCCATCTGAGAAGGGCCTGGTGTGTAAGGGGAGCCAGTGGGTACCCGACCCCGAGACCCTGCTCTTCAAGGAGTGGGGCAAGGAGCTCTCGGTGTGGCAGAAGCGCAAGGCGTGTGCCCGCTTCCTCATCTACGGCTACAACGCCTACCTGAGCGACCGGCTGCCCCTCGACCGCGACGTGCCTGACAACCGCCCTCCCGGGTACGCCACTCGGAGTCGCACTCTCGCTCAGCATCGCCACCATCATCATCATCGTCGTCATCATCGTCATCATCGCCATCATCATCGCCATCACTGTCATCGCCACCATTACCCCCCCCCCCGCCAGGTGCGCGACTCACTCGTAGAGAGTTAAACTCATTTATCGTCATCATCGTCATCGCAGTGCCGGCCAGCTGAGCGTGAGTGCGAGTATGCCTCGCCACTGGTGGACTAGGGCCTTCCCACGTCATGCGTTGTCACGGGGGTCGTTTGACCATACTTCCCCTCTCCCGCGCCCCCCTCCCCCCCAGCTGCAGCTCCAAGCGGTACCCGTCGGAGCTCCCGGCGCTCAGCCTGGTGCTGATCTTCTACAACGAGGCTGTCTCCATCCTGCTGCGCGCCGTCACCTCCGCCGTGCGCAACACGCCGCACCACCTCCTCAAGGAGGTCATCCTCGTCGACGACTGCAGCGGCCACAGTGAGAGCTACAAGGACATACTTTGTTTGTTATCATGTATGTATGTTGAACTTCTTTTGCAATGTACGTAGCCAACAGTGGCTAATCGGAAGTTTGGGGGGAGGGACAATAAATTAAACACAAACAGCAGTTCTACAGAAAGTAGTTTTCAATTTAGTATAGAAGTATAGTAGTGTAGTATATAGTGTAGTATGTATTCTGAACTTTTTTTCACCATACATAGCCAACCGTGGTTAATCAAAGGTGCGGAGGTCATCAGCACGAGGTCACCTTACACAGACCACGTGGCGGACTGACACACACACCCTTCACACAGCTGTGGGTTGCTCACGGCTGCTGCTACTCTTGCTCATGATTTATGATGATAAATACAGACAACAATGAATGGTGCCCTTCACCAGGAGACCTGCAGCAACAATTCAATGCGCAGATCGAGGAGCTGGACAGCAGGTACCCGGAGGTGTCCATCCGCATCGTCCGGCACGCGGCCCGCAGGGGGCTGAGCGCGGCCCGGGTCACCGGCGTCCGGGCGGCCTCGGGGCCCGTGGTGGCCGTCATGGACGCCCACGTGGAGTTCCCCGTCGGATGGTGAGTCCCAAACTCTCTCTGGCTGGTGAGTCCGCTCAGCCATGACGCTTTGCACCGCGAGTTCAGTAGATCATAGTAACCAGCACTGGGCCATGCTGGAGGGTGGGTGGGGTGGGTGGGTGAGTGGGGTGGGTGGGTGGGGTGGGTGGGGTGGATGGGTGGGTGGGTAGTGGGTGGGGAGGCGCGATGATGTCACAGTGTGACGCATCCAGCTCAAAGGGCTGTGGATTGCGAGTGACGTCACCACGCAGGCGTACAGCAGTGACGTCACCACCGCACCAGCCAACCAGGCACCTGTTATAATACGAAACGCTACCGTTATAACGCGGAAGGCACAAGTTATAACGTGGAATGTGCACTGTTATAACGCAGTATCTGAGCAGTCGTCAACAAACTACTTTATTTAGCTGTGTAGCTGAGTGGTACAGTGATACAGTACGTGGAGTATACACTAGCGCGGCAGCGTACCCTCAGTTATATGTCCCGCCATTACTTCTGTGTGTTCGTTGTAGTAGTGACATCGCATCTCGCCAAACGCGATCATTGCATTAATTATGTGGAAATAGTTTTTACTCAACGTGTTTTTCGCTTGATGCCGCCACTTTTCAGGAAGGCATCTAGGTGTGGTAAATGAGGACTTACCATCATATGTTTATTACCGATGTGTGAGCTGGCCTGGTAGCGTCGAGGTCAGAGACACGGGACCAGCACCACTGAAACCCTGGGTTCCAATCTGGGTTACGACCGCCTTTCATGAATATGAATGATAATGGACCAGGGAAGTGGATATCACAGAGCTACCGCCGAGATCTCTTCAAGTGACCTTTGCTTTAAACTCCATAGAGGGCAGAATTTTGCCACCCATTGGTCTCTTTGCATCTATAGATCTCTATGTGAATCTATAGAACTCTGTGTGAGTGTATGGGTCTCTGTGTTAGTATGTGGGTGTCTGTGTTAGTCTACAGGTTTCTGTGTGAGTCTATAGGTCTTTTTGTGAGTCTATGCGTCTCTATGTGAGTCTATGGGTCTCTGTGTGAGTCTATGGGTTTATGTGTGGGTTTTGTTTGTTTATAGGTTTCTTTGTGAGTCATTGGTATATGTAGACAAACCATTATCTCACTGCCTTAAGAACCTGGTTTAATCACGGACACACTCAAATCCGATTAACCCAGGATCTAAGTATTGACAGCACAGTCTTTCGTGAGCCATCTGGTCACCTCTGATGACAGTAAATATACCAACAAAAATGGCGTTGCTCAATTCCGCTAACCAGGGCCGAGCCGATCCTGGCACGGATCCAGGAGGACCGGCGCGTCGTGGTCTCCACGGTGTTCGACAACACGCACTACGACACGCTCGAGGTGCACCGCTACGAGTCGCAGGCACAGACGTTCACGTGGCAGCTGTGGTGCACCTACATGGTGCCCCCCCTCGAATGGATCAACAGCAAGGACCCCACGGCCCCCATCAGGTACTTATCCAGAAGGCTGCCAAATGTGTAGCCTCACCCACATTTGCGCAGCCTTGCCCACGTTCGCCTAACCACGTCCACCTTTGGGTAACCCTGCCCAGGTTTCCGCAGGCAGTGCTCGTATATTCCAATAAATGAACTAAACTAAACTTTTAATTTTACCAGGTAAGGCCTACTGAGCTATATAGCTCGTTTTCGGAAGCGACCTGGTCACAAATGATAGCTCAACGAAGTGGCTTAGCACGTGGACATTTATGGCAGCCAAAAACCGGAGGATCTCGAGAAAAATCCATGTGACCACGGGGAGAACATGCAAACTCGAAATAAAAGCCATCAGGATCGGGATCAAACCCACAACCTCCTGCATACCAGGCGAGGTAGTTAACATCACTGTGGTGAGACGTTAACTGCACTCAGACTGAACTGCGTTGCAGGCCTCCCTTCCTTATGCCGGTGTCAGTGATAGCCCGTTGGTCTCAGATGGTGAGTCTTTGCTCGCAGAGCCCTACTTGAGATATTTCTGTGGTTATTGCCAGCCCTACGTGATGTTGTTGAGCTTTGTCATCCAGCTTACTCACCCCCCTCTCGCTTCCAGGAGCCCGATTGTGATGGGCTGTATGGCAGCCAGCAAGAGTTACTTGGAGGAGATCGGCTTTCTGGATGAAGGCATGCAGGTGTACGGAGGGGAGAACGTGGAGCTGGGCCTCAGGGTGAGGATGCTAAGACACAAAGACAAACACATTGTCGGCCCTTACAGATTATTACACCAAACCGTTTTTTTAGCAGGTAAGGCCTACTGGGCTATTTAGGTTTTTTTTCAAAATGATAGCTCAATGAAGCGGCATATCACGTGAAAATGTATAGCAGCCAAATGCTCTGAATGTCTGACTTTGATTCTAAATGTGAACGGAAAAACTGGAGGATCCGGAGAACAATCCACGCGACCACGGGGAGAGATAGACGCAAACTCTAAATATACAGGCATCGGGGTTGGGGTCGAACCTATGCCTCCTGTATACCAGGCGATCTCGCTAACATATCGCCACCGTGGCGCAGGGTGGCACGCTGGTAACACTTGTGCCTCACAGCAAGACAAGCCTGGGTTTGATTCCTGCCTCGGGTGCCTTCTTTGTGGAAGGTATCGGTTCTCGCCCTGTTCCGTTTGCGCTTCATCTGGGTTCTCAGGTTCCTCACATAGCTTGAAAAAACATACAATGTAACAGGCATTGGCCGAAACGTCCGAATGTTGAATAATTACCTGAAAATTACTCAATCGAGATCACACAGCAGCAGCAACAACATTGCCCCCACTGCTGCAAAAAACTAACGGGTCCCTCTTGAAAAAAATTGTCTTGAAGCTCTCCTGGGTGACTGCAGACAAAAGGAGGATCTGTGTAAGCCAACCCCAACCGGCTACCGAGTTCTGAGTGGCCAATCACAATGCCTGGGCTATTGGTGACCAGCCCTCACTCTCCGACCCACCCCGTGTGTCCAGGTGTGGCAGTGCGGGGGCCGCGTGGAGGTGCTGCCCTGCTCACGCTTGGCTCACATCGAGCGCTACTTCAAGCCGTACGCCCCGAACCTGAGCGTCCACATGCGCAGGAACGCGCTGCGTGTGGCCGAGATCTGGATGGACGACTTCAAGAAGAATGTCTACATGGCCTGGAACGTGCCCATGAACGTACGCGGTGCAGGGCACCCTCTGTGATTCACGTGCAGCACACTCATGCATATTCATGTACAGGTAGTCTTCTACTTACGATAGAGATGCGTTACGACGACCCCATCGTAAGTCGAAGATGGCCTAGCCTACCCAGGAGTCTTAAAAAATGGTGATAATTTAGCAAAACAGAGAAATTTACAGTACCGTACTGTACAAACTATATACTGTATGTATTTATTGAAATACTGTATTGCACAGTTAAATGTAAAGTAAAAGAACAAGGTAATTTCTTAGCCTACCTATATGAACTGCAATTTAATATAATGTTGTCGTATCGCTATCGCCATTGTAAGATCGAAATATCGTAAGTCGCACCATCGTAACTCGGGGACTATCTGTAGATGTGATGCGTATTCATGTAGACGTGATGCATATTCACGTAAGGGCACGCACTCGGCCATGGTGGGTCGTCAAGGTCTGTAAAGTTACCAGATGGGCCCATTGTGTTCTACGTGATAAAAGACACGAGACACAATGCCGTGTGTCTCGTTCGGCCAACCCAGCAAGCCGCCACCTTCAGGAGGTGGCCGCATGTGGCCCGCGCTGAGGCTGGAGTGCTGAGCCCCTGGCTTGAACCCAGCCAAACCATTTGCCCCATTTTGTGTTCACGCAATCATTTCCATAGCCCAGTCAATGGCGATACAGCCGCTGCTGCTGCTGGGTGTGATCCCAATTGAGTACTTTGCGGGGTGGTTTTTCGAAATTGGCAACTTGTTTTCACAGTGACGTCAGCACGCAATGGCTTTCCTCATTTTGAATGAGCAGATGGCGCACACTGAGTGGTATTTAATGGAGCATACCCCACAGTGTTCACCAGTGCCACCTGCCGGACATGAACCACGAAACGGTGCAACGAGCGGTGGGCCCACCGCGTCACCATCCCGATTAACTCTCAGTGGACATGGAACTTTGGGCCAACTTTGGTGCAACGTTTCCAGCCAAATGTCAATGTTTGCTATAATTGACCCAACGTTCACCGGGTGTATAACTCTTGTCTCGTTGGTGGTGCCACACTAGGGCTCTGGGATCGACATCGGCGACATCTCGGAGCGTGTGGCTCTGCGCAAGCGGCTCAACTGCAAGAGCTTCGCGTGGTACCTGGAGAACGTGCTGCCCTCACTGCCACGTCACGACGACATCGTGCAGTACGGCGTGGTGAGTATGCAGTACGGAGTGGGGAGTATCCGGTGCGGTGTGGTGAGTACTCGGTACGGTATGGTGCATATCCAGCATGGTGTGGTGCATATTCGATGCCCCTTTTCCACTGGCATATCCAAGCCGAGCCAGCCGAGCACAGCTCAGGAGGCACCAGTGTGGTTTTTCCACTGCAGAAGCTGGAGCTGTTCCACTGACATCGAGACATGTAGCTGCACAATTAAGTCCCTGAAGAAGCTCCCTCACGCGGAGAGAAACGTCTGACATCATGCCGAGCAACACAGTGGAACAGTCCAAAAACACATCAGACGGCTATGCAGCAGCACAGCTGCGAAAACGTACAAAGTGGTCTTGACTTTCACCGATGTTATAATGACAGAGACCCTAAAGCACTCGCGTGTAATCATTTGAAAATGTACATCGTTACAATTTTCTTATTTCAGATGACCAACAACAAAAAAGAAAGCCTCTGTCTGGACAAAGGAGACCCAAAGGATAAATTTCCCATTTTGTACCCATGCCATGGATACACCCCCCAGGTACTGTGTTGTATTGAACGCCTGACCAATGAATGTGTGATTACGCCCGTGGTGTAAGGGTGGGGAGCGGCAGCGAGGTCGTGGTTAGCGTGCTGCGCTATGAACCTGGCAACCAGAGTTGGATTCCTGCTCACAGCCAAAAGCAGTGACGATTATCTGAAATGGTCTTGAGGCTCCCCTAGGTCTACTCAGCCTCAAATGAGTAACTAGTGTGTTATCCACACTAATTACGGGGAGCACGGCCTTTCGATAATAAAACATTGCGGATGATCCCAAAATATCAAATTTTCACGGATCTCTGGCAAAAAGCACTAATATAGGTTTAAATTATGTTTAAGTAAAATCAAAATTGAGTTTGTTAATGAAGACTCCGCCCACTAAATTTTTAGAGCCACGCCAATCAAAATCGATCAAACGCTGCCCACTGTTGTAAATATATCCAATTACTGTACTGTCTAGGCGATCACGTGGATTTTGGATTAACTGGCGCACATATTTGCTGGGTTTAGGCACGTGGCTTGTGATAGATATTTCTAAGAGTAACAATGTTTCACTGATCTTCGATTATTAATTTGCGCTTAAGGGAAAATCCATGAGTTTTCAATTTTTGTCAATCTCACACGAATAATCGAGTGTCTACTGTAACAATAGTAAAACTTAAACCCAAGTGCTTCTCGCTGTGAGCCGCGAGTGTCGCCGCTGCGCCACCCTGCTACCCAATCTGTCAGGGGCGGCCCGAGACGAGCTGCCAGCAACTGGCGCCCGAGGGCGAACCATGCAATCGGCTCCCCCGCCGCTGAAGCCCAAGGGCAGATCGAGGCTGAGGTTGTTTGTAAACTGGGAAACGTTTTGCTCCTATCTTCTGTTTAATGTTTTCTAAGCGTATTTTTTTCGACAGAGGCATAATTATTTTGGATGTCTCTCCGTCCGTTTGTCCAACTAGTTTTTCTGAGGTCAGATAAAATAGAGATACAAATTTAAAGAATAGATTTGTAAACGATAGCTAGATGATATTTCAGTCCGATTTAAGGTATTTATATTGGCAGTCAATAAAATATTTTACTTTATAAATTCTCATACATTTTTAGAAATGAATTCTAATTCATATTCCTTCTGTACGCGCATGGGAATTTAAATAATGACATCTCCATTAGTTTATTCGTTTTTTTGAGTATTTTTTTACTAGAATTTGGCACCCCACTTAACGTGGTGCTCTCGACGACCGCCAAGTTCGCCTACATGGACACGGGCCGCCCTGGCGATCTGTACGTGTCTACACGTGTCTACGCGTGTCTACACGTGTCTGTGTGTCTACTTGTGTTGGTTGTATTGAGCAGCTGGCAATGAGAACCTCAGACAACCGGATTATGATCGGGCTGAACTTGGACTTGGTGAGGCCCGGAGCTGTGTGTCTGGGGGTGTCGGCATCGGGAGTCGAGCCTGCGTTTGTGGACTGTCAGCTGACCGGTCAGGAGGCCAGCAGCCTGCTTCACTTTGAGGTGACGGACTTGACAGTAACCACGTGGGTTTTTAAGTCGTCAAAATGTTTTATTAGGAATTGATGTGGCAATGCTGATCAGATTAGGCTCGTTACGAACGCCTCCTTTCGTTGATCTGCCTCTTCACGTGAAGACTTTTATTTTAATAAAGTGTGCAGGGACACAGACATATGGAAGGAGGAGCTGTATTGCCTGATTATCGATTGTGTGTTAGTTACCACAGCAACGCTGATGATTATTTAGTTGCTGATGGAAGGACCGCTTCAAGATCTAATGTGTGTTTACTGTGTGGCTGCAGAACGGAGAACTGAGGCTCCAGGAAGGAGGGAAGTGCCTGGAGGTGAAGGAGAATGCTCAGAGAAGCTACGGCATAGAGCTCGTGCTGGTGCCCTGTTCCGGGCAGAAGTGGCGTTTGGCGTACATCCGCAAATCGTAGCCCCAATACATGGACACGCGCTTAAGATTGGCATCAAGATGTCATCATTGTACCCAAAGCTGTCATCATTGTACCCAAAGCTGTCGATGACACCACTGCCACCTTCTTGCTACCAACACGTTCTACGCTGTGCAGATTCCACAGCTGCTGGGGCAGTAGAGACCGGTGACTCGTGAGACCAATAGAAAGGCCGTTCGTAGATTCCAATAATTATTGCACTAGTATTCAAGAGGCTCCCCACGATATTTTAGGAGCAAAGTGGCTTTCTGATGTTTTAAATTCATGAACCCTAAAAGCCCGGGAGAGAGTGTCGTGTAAATGAATGTGTTTCTAAAACGGAAAGCCTACAAAGCCATGAGCTTTCTCAAGCACTCAATAATCAAACCTTACAGCCAGAATTCCGGGGCTAGGCCACGCACCAACGTACTACTGGGACTGTGACGCCCACCATTGAAGCGACTCGCCACTGGTTCCGAGGTCTGCACAGCAAGCCAGCAGAAGGTGTTAAGTGAATCAATCACCGGGTGTTTACCGGTGTCTCCATTGCAGTAGAGGCCACACGCGCACATTGACACGCAGGAGACCGTATTGGTGGAGGTGCGTCACGTGTGGTGCTCTGCGTTGTTTCCGTGTATCAGTTGATGTGAAGAGACGTTTAATGTAAATAGTCATTTACGAAAAGAAAAATCATGCTGTAAAATCATCTCTGTTTCACATTGCCATCTCATCGCACTGTGTTATGAAATGTAAAGGGCTCGTTGTGAAGAGAGCGGTCACTGTACGTTTCTCGTCGGGCTCGTGGAACAACAAGACCACCATCAACAACAACAGCAGCCGCCTCTATTCGCCACGAAGTGATGATGAACTCACCACGGCGCCTGTGCCGGGCGAGATGGACTTTGAGGCCACGTGAAGTGTCAAAGACTCGCGACAGGAGGTCGCTGGACAGACCCAGGTGCCATGAGTTGACTCAGATGACTGGCCGATGCACCATCTGTACCCCCTACTGCGCCAACTTGCTGTAGTTTAGTCAATCTTGATTTGAAGCTTTCGTGACTGCAGGGATCCATGTATTTTAGTCGTCTTTACGCTCCCCTCGTTGTTGTGAGCGTTGCTCCTCCGCCCTCCGTTGTTGTTGGAGGGTTACGGCCTCGAACTGCCCAGTAGCGTCCTTCACGAGCCTCCCCCATAGAGGCTGATCTTGACATGGCTGGTACCAGTAATTGGCAAATCTACTCAGCTCCGCATCCTCCTGTGCCACATCAGTCCATCTCTTTTTCAGCCCGTGCCATGCCCATTATTTAGCCTCCTCTATCCAGCCAAACAATAGCCGCTTGGGCATGCGGTGGCTGGCTACATCACCCAGCCAACGTAGCCTTACTCGCTGGAGCTCACCTATGGGACTTTGTCCATATCTTTCCAGGATTTGTGAGCTCCTCACAATCCAGCTTGGTTAAACACATGATGAATCATAGGCAGGCCAACCTAAATGTTTTTAACCGGCGAAGATGTTCCAATAGGGGGATCCACGTTTCACAAGCATAGAGAAAGGAGGGGCATGACTGTGGCCGAGAAGACCTGAAACTTCGTATGGAGCGATAGACCAGGTAGCTTCCACATTACGCAGCCGATGAAAAGATAATGCTACAGTACACACACCTCCACATCCACAATGTACCACACAGCATTGTACAACACACCACGCTGCAACCACAGAACCACCGCACGAACCACTCAACATCGCACTGTATACCGCTCCAGTGGACTACACACATAGAGAAGACAACTATCCTTCGTATACCCTTAACAGACTGTGGCACATGAGGTAGGTGTCCAGCACCACGCCTGGCAGTGCTCTTATCACCATGGTGGTGGCTTTAGTGGTGGTGGTGATGGTATTGGTGATGGGGATCATGGTGGGGTGGGTAATGAGTCCGTGGTCCTTTCGGCCTTCGTGCCAGCGAGGAGTCTTGGCTGCCGCATTCGTGACTCGCTGTGGTTGTTGGACTCATCGCTTTCGTGGTTGCGCCGACCGCAAATCTGTCAACTCGAGAAGAAACCACAAGAAGATGCAGGGTCCCGTGTCAGTCTCAGGCGGGGGGGGGGGGGTGTGTCCGAGTCTATGGGAAACGCGCCCCCAATTGTGGGTGAGCGGTAGTGCAGCGGTTAGCGCGCTGCGAACTCGGCGATTCCCGCTCACGCCAACACCACCAACGCCACCAACGCCGGTGAGAGATACCAGAACCGGTCCTGGGCACCCCCGCTCAGTCGACACAGCCTCAACATTAGTTTCTTGGTCGGTGTGTCTCAAACATCTCCGCGAGAGAGACCAAGACCGCCGGGCATTGTGCTGGCCACCCCTTCCCGGCTCCTGTGCTCTTCGCCTTTTGGCATTCCCGTCTCGCGCTGGTGCAGAGACATGGCCACAGAGGATGCTGTAGCTCTGATTTAGGCCAAACAGTTTCAAGGACAATCCGTGCATTGTTATCAAAGCACGTTTGTGTGCCTGTTTTAGCACAAGCGTGTGTGGGTGAATGCAGCCTTGCAATCGGTGAGTTTTATTTGGCGTTTGAACATCGTATAACATCTGCATACAGCCGTCTTCATCATACGAATGGGCAACGACGCCCAACGTGAATTATTCCTCTTGCTGCTGAAGATAAGAATAGTGATGATGATGATGCAGATCGTGGTGATGATGATGGTGGTTAAAGTGATGGTATAATTAAGCTTGAAACCGGATTCTCCGGTTCCCTCCCACGGGAAGCCAAACGCTCACCACCACCACCACCCGCCACTTACAATCAGAACATTTATTTATATACTGGAGGAGGAATCCGATGAGCTATGAAGCTCTTTTTCACAGACGTCCAGTCGGGGCGAGTAAGAACGTTACATCAACAAACAATAAAAAAAAACATGATAGGAGTGCAAAGTGCAAAAAAGTTAACAAATGTCGCCCAAACACGTACAAATGAAACGAAACCATCCACCATTATACCAGACTAAGCCCACTGAGGTATGAACTTATTTTTCAAAAGCGACCTGGCCACAAATGATAGCTCAACAAAGTGGACGTCTCATTTGGACATTTATATCAGCAACATCATCTAAATTGTCTAAACGCATGTTTCTAAATGTGGAGGGATAGAAACGTCACCACGGCGCCTGTGCCAGGCCAGGTGCACCTTGAGGCCATCACGTGAAGACCAGCAGGTGCCATGGGTTGACCGACCGAGATGACGGACCAGATGCACCAGCCGTGCTGCCCGACTGCTGCATTTTAGCCACCCTGCGCTTCGCTGGTTGTTGTGAGCGTCACTCCTCTGCCCTCCGTTCTTGTTGCTGGAGGGCGACTACCTCCAACTGACCCAGCAGCGTCCTTCATGAGCCTCCTCACCACCACTCATGGCATCCATGGACAAACATCGCAATGTCGCAGGACCCTCCCGATAACGAGTCTTGAGACTCCGTGAGACCTTGACCGGATAAACTAAAAACTCTGTTTTATATTTTACCAGGTAAGGGGCCACTGAGCTGTGTAGCGCTTTTTCCTAGAACCGACCTGGCCATCACGAATGATAGTTCAACGATCTGGCTTTACTTCACGTGGAAATGCATAACTAGCAGCTAAATATTCTAAACGAATGATTTTGATTCTAAATGTGGACGGAAAAACCGGAGGACCCGGAGAAAAATCCACACGACCACGGGGAGAGAGAGAGAGACACGCAAACTCCGACAAGTAAACCCGTAAAAACAAAGTTTTTCACTATAAATCCTTTATATGCGTGGCGGCTAGAGTCCTCTCGTCCTCTGGCTTGAGATGGCTGCCACCTATGGGTCAGATGATTGTCTGCCACCATTAAGCAATTGGTAATTAAATATTTAATTTGTTTTCCCTAAACAGTGTAAAATTTAGGATTTTTTTTTCACGAAAATTAATTGTCACACACAACGAGTCTGTGTGGAAAATGTCAGCTCGATTGGATCACGGGAAGTGGGTTAAAAAACGAGCGAAAGATTTGCACGGTCCTAAGCAAGCAAGCAAGCACGCAAGCAAGCAAGCAAGCACGCGAACTTAATATAAAGGATTTAAAAATACAGACGTGATGGACAGGATCGAACCCACGACCTCCTGTATACCAGGCGAGGGAGTTAACATCTCGCTTTTCCGCAGCGTTCCACATTCCAGTTTAGAGTCAACGTTGATTTTTTTTTTGGTCAAATGAACAGCAGTTAAGGACTTGGTGGTGCCAACCTCCCAGATGTTATAGCCCCGCAGGGAGCCAGTAGTGGAAATTCCACATTCTTATGGATGACGGCGGCGGGTGTGGCGAGTCTCTCCATAGGACAACCGCTGTTGTTGATCTCCCCCCACGAAGTGGTACCTACTTTATCGACCCCGGAGGGATGGACGATGGTTGCTGGGAGGAGTGGGCTGAGTCAACCCTCACCCAACTCAACCAGGATTTGAACTCGCGGCGTTTCGAATTCCGAGGCGACTCGCTCATTAGCCGAGCCATCGAACACCCGGGCCGGATTTGGGAAAACAAAAAGTGTATAATATAAATAATAAGCATACACGGAATAATAAATAAATGTGCGAAATATATAAAATAAATAACACAACGTAAATAAACATAAATAAAATAAATACAATTACATTTGTATAAAATAAAGATAACAGGGTAATATGATGTGTTTATAACACGGTATGTGCATTCCATCTTTAGATAATTGGATAATTGTGTTTGTTTTTGTATCCTGACAGCTGTGAAACTACTGCCATTCTGTTAAATAACAGCTTGAAAGTTCATCAGATTCCTCCAGGATCAAAGACAGATTCTTATACTGAAGTGTAACTGGGAGGCGCGTGGTACAGTGCAAAGTAATCGTCACAATCACCCATCATCTCAACCCGCGTGGGGGGAGAATCAAATCCGACTCCGCCGGATTTGATTGCTCGCTTAAACGTGTTCCGTTATTCCGGTTTGACCGCTGTAACTGGTGGGGTGCATTTCAGAATCTCTCCTCTCGCTCCTAGATTACTCGCTCCTCTCTTTCCGCTCCTCTCTCGTGAACCGGATATTTAAAACGAGGAGAAATCGTCTCCGGTACACTACAATGTTTCATAAGACGGGTATCTTTCGCCGATGGCCGCTGTGTTTTTTGGTGGTGATTCAACACGCGCTGTTTGGAGCCGGAACTTCTCAACTCTTGCTCGGTAAGTTTGCGAGAAACGATGAGTCCGTGAGTTGGTTGTGAAATACCAAGAACTATTTTTATTTTAACAGGTAAGGCCCACCGAGCTGTATAGCTCCTTTTTTTTTAAGACGCGACCAGGTCACAAATGATAGCGCAACGAAGTGCTTATCGTGTGGAAATGTATCGCAGCCAAATATTCTAATGTGGAAGGGAAAACCGGAGAATCCGGCGCAAAATCTACGGACACGGGGAGAGAGAGAGACGCAAACTCCGAATATACAGCAGCAGCAGGCGTCAGGGTCACGATCGAACCCACGACCTCCTGTACACCAGGCGAGGGAGTTAACATCTCCTAGCCACCGTGGCTGATTTTTGTCTAGTAATAGTTTTTTGCACGCACCGTTTGGATCACAATTATTGTAAAGTGGCTTCCTCGTTGTTTGGAGCCATCCAGAGTTTTTAGGATCTCGACCTCTCCAATTCCGCCATCTCTGTCCTCTATTTTTAAACCGGTGGGGGGGGGGGGGTCTGAAACCGAAATGAACAAGGAGGTCCGCAATGCAATGTGGTTAATATTATCTGAATCCGTCTTGGGCTTCTCCTAGGTAGACTCAGCCTGGTGCGGTGTGTAAACATCGCCGCTCGGGGAGACAAAGGCGGCCGGGCGTGGTGCTGGCCATCCACCCCCTCGCGTGCCTTGCCGGC